AACACAGTTTCGCCAGGGTTGCCCTCAGCGTGAGAGCAGATATCTCCCATAAATCCAGTATAGGTATTGGTGAGGTCCCTGGCCTTCCTTCGCTTTGGGGAAGACACTTCGTTATGGCTGAAAACATCAGGGTCAGTTAAAGCATTGTTGTGGATAATACCATCCGCAGTTGTAGACCTCGCACTGGACAGAGACACTTCACTCTTACCACTTCGGTCATCTGACAAAGTAGAAGAATGTTTGTAGTCATCCACTGTAGATGACTGAACGTGTCCATCCATCTTCGAGTCTTCTTCATTGGGTTACTGGAAAGTATCCTTGCGTAAAGATAAAGTCTCAGTCCTCCCATTTCCTGTAGGAATACCCTCTGTAGAAGAACCATGGTCCCCGTTCTTGAGCTGCACAGTGGACTCTGATGTAACTGTGTGAGGCAACGCATCCTTGCCTTCTTGCTGTCCATTCGTATTAGGCAATATTACTGCCATTTCCTCTTTCACCTCAGTGGCTTCTTTCCTTTTCTCTTCTTCGTTCATCTTTGGGTTAGTGAGACTGCTTTCATTGGCAGCAATCTGTTGCCCATGAGCATCATAAATGACCTCTGTGTAGCCACCTCCGATAAGAACACCTTCTCGCTTCAAGTCGTACAACTTTTCAACCTCCAGCGTTGCATCCGAGGATCCCCCGTGAATGGTGTCCTCGGTTGGGGCGGAGTAATTTCTCATTTAACTCCATGAATTCCGGGTGATCCGGGAATAGAGGGTATTTTAGTTTCTCCACTCGTGCTCCAATACGTATTCTGCTTGCAGGGGTCGAATGCCGCAAACAGTCCCCAGTTGTGTACAAATGGACTCTGTACTCCTCTTCAGAGTTGAAAAGGAGGGTTTTGAGGCATTCCAAGCCATATTCACGGTCTTTTGCAAAGAACAGGTACTGGCCTATCATCACCTCCGTTGGCGTTAGGCGACCAATCTCTGCCTTTTCAATGAAGCATTTCTTTGCCGCTTCCCTTCTTTCCTTCTTGGTGTAACTGGTGGTAAGTTTCTTCCAGAAATTCTTTGCCAACGCATAATCTCGTTTCCACGGTGACAAGTCGTGTTCTTTTTGCTACCTCAGATAGCCAATCTCGACTTGGTATTTGGTGGTCTCCGTCTGTTTGGCCTTGTCGTCCAATGTGTTGGTGTCTTTGCCCCGGGCCGGGGAAGCGTCTAATGCGGTCTTCGTCAGGACTTCGAGCATTATTGTGTTGCCTTCGTCCTCAGCCTCTTTCAAATGTTTGAGGAAAGCGTCAAGTTCACCACCAGTGAAGCATTCTTCCGCCATCTTACGGATAGGTAAAAACTTTTTTTCCGTCATCCTTTAACTTCTTTTCAAAACTCTTGTTTGAGTTCTGAACACGTCGAAAACCCTTTGGGAGGAGTTGGAGGTGTTCAACCTATGTAATTATAAGAAAAGAGAACAATAACGAGGAAAGAAAACAAGTGGGTTTTCACAGCATTCAAGCAATACAATGAATCGAATTAATATGTACACAACTTTCCATCACTCCCAAGATGTTTCAACATGTTTCCGTTTACTCTTAAACCGTACATCCAGTCTCTCTTCGAGAAAGTTGTTTATACGACACGCTCGTGCTCTTCGCACGCTGTAAGCACGGCTACCCCTACCCCTAACCCTAAAAGTATGCTTTATTCGTTCCGGACTGCGTGGTGCGACACTGTTTTATATTTTTGTGCATCTTCGCAGTCGCTTGCAGGCAGAACGAATGAGACGAATGAGTATCGCTTCCCGTGTCCTGTTGAGTGGCGGGCGGGGCGCGCGAAGCTGAATGAGGAAGAAGTGCGCGGGAGGGGGTTATGATCTAAAACAGAAAAAACGTTACCCATCATGCGTGTCGTTATGCAGTTCGTTTGCCGTTGGGGACTTCGTAGTGCGTGTCCATTTCTCGTTCTTTGTGTTTAGCAGTTCGCTCTCTCCTAACCCTAATCCGAATATGAAATATGCGTTCCTCATTCGGCTTGGGGAGTGAGGGTTAGGATTTGTGGCATTGGTAAAGCGTTAGGGACTTCGTTTGCCGTTGGCAGTTAAAGTGGTGCGAGTTTGTAAGCACCATTAAGACTTAACACCCAAAGCGGTGCTGCTATGAATGAATGTAAATGACAGGCCGATATTTTTCCATACACTACTTTATTGCATCATTCGTCTACATGTGTGCGAACAGAGAAGCTAATAGTAAGAAAAAAACAAAACAAACAAAATAAAATGCAGGCGTACAGAAAGAAAACAAAAAAAAAAAATAATAATGTTACTACTAATGTAGAAAAAGAAATAATAATAATAATAATAAAACATCTTGAGGGAAAGCCCGCTTTACTACCATTCAACACCCACTGAGCGAAGTACCTTTAACCATAATTCCTTGGCTACATTTCCTTCATCTCTCTCAAAATCGCCTGTCCACTACAAAATAATAATAATAATAAAAATGTGTGCTACAGCAGCATTATCGCTATCCTAAGAAAAGCATTCGCACATTCCTTTCCCCTTCCTTTCCTAATGTTTTACTTGAATGGGTTCTTATCATCCTCTGCCTGGCGCTTCTTTGTCCAGTACTTTGTATACTTTGCCTGCGCTACGCTATCCTGAAAGGGTGGGCGGTACTCAGCCCACGCTTGGTAACGGATAAGCACTTCACCCCATGTCAGCGCACACTTTTCAACAGGTGGCTCCTCCGCTTTTAAAGCTTTGGCAACACATAAGCGATGTGCCAGCTGTGCATTTTCCAAGTGCTTCTGCAATGCCTCACTGGGCACCATACCCTTGATCGCATCATTAGAGAGATCGTGAAAAGCAGGTCCTGATGCCATGAGTGGAGTTCTCTGGGTTTTCTTCTTACTTCTCTTTCTTGGCAATAGAATAGATTATATTTACGTAATATTAGAGGGAAAAAAAGTCGCACGAGACGCAATGACAAAAAGTGATGCAGAACGCACTATAAATTAAGAGTAAGAAATCAAAAAAAAGGAAAAAATAAAAAATAAAAAATGCGTAAATATTTTTTTTTCTAATATAGGTAAAGAAAAAAAAAAAATGTTCCCCTCAACCACCTCTTTTCTTGACCATATCACTGAACCTCACAATCGTCAACTGAAGGTCGAGGAACTTTTTTGGACGCGACAGAGGAAGTGGTAATTGATGTCTGTAAATCTTGAGGGGCAGCAGTTGGACTCTTTTCTCTTGGAGGTTCTTTATCACTTGACCCTGGTGCTACTTCGTGCGATGCGTTTACTGCATCAACGGAGACGAAGTAGTCATCGGTGAGTAATTGTGCCGCTATTCGCACCGCCGCCGTTTCACAAAACTGTACTTCTTCACGAACGGCAATTGCCAACTCCTCGCATGACAGACGGAATCCTCGACCCATTACTTCACCGGCTGTCTCCTGGTTTCCCTTCATGGCAACTTGTAGACAACGTTTCGTGCATTCTTGAAACGAACGAGGACATTCAGCTCCCCCATGGGGTGTAGATATACAGTGTTTGATAGCATTAAATACACGTGTTAAGTAGTCCACACTGCTCAGCGCCTGACATAAGAGCTCATGTGTGCGTCCTGATGATGATGATGATGGCAAAGAATGGGAAGAATTCGCATGTTCTTCCTTATCACGTGACGGTCGAGCAAAAGCCTCCTCGAACGCAGCAATACGTCCAGCCTGCTCTTTTACTTGCAGCTGCAGTTCACGCACCTGGTTTTCTCGATTTTCTAACTGTTTTTTTAGCATCTCCACATCGTTGTTATCGTCTTTCTTTTGAAATGACCTTAAGTGAAGGGCTGTATTTTTCGCGCTTAGCTCATGCATCCGTCGTTCAAGAAGCGCCTGGTGCACAGCGTTTGCCTTTATCTGGTCGCGAAGTCTTTCATTTTCGACTCTGTAGCGCGAGAGCAGTGCATCCACCATGGGATCTATCATTCCTTCAGTAGGGACAGAACTCTTCTCCAAGTTACATGAATTTACAGGAGACCGAGCAAACTCTACCGAGGTCGATGGTCTCGAAACTCCCGGCTCCCTGGAGTTACCCCTGTCTGGCAAGTAAAAAGTGGTGCCGACGTGCTGTGGACGTAAAATGTTTGGTTGTTCTCGCCACATCCTGCATATTCGCTATACCTACTATTTGGTTTCCCCCTTTTACCCCTTGTTTTTTTTTTTTTTGTTTTGTTGATGAGTGTGTTGATTGGAGAGGATGCATTGATTGTCTCATGTTGTTTCAGAGTAATAACAATAGTAGTAGTAGTAGTAGTAGTAGTAGTAGTAGTAGTAATAATAGTATTAATGGGAGGAAAAAAAAAAAAAAAAACAGCAGTAACAGAGAGAAGAAACAATCAACAAGATCAACTCCACATTTCACTGACTTAGACTGATCCACGGGTTTATATATATTTTTTTTCTTTCAGATTTCATCATTGTAACTATTTTTTTTTTTTTTCTTATGCTCTATGTGCTCCATCGACGTACATATGAACCTATTCTTCAACACTGAAATAATGAAAACACAAACCCACGCTGTCATTCCACCCAACCCTATATACACATTCTCAAATACGGCAGTTACCACTTTCATAGGTATTTCCTCTATCTTTCTTTTATTTTTTTTTTCTGCGCGTATAAATAAATATTATATATATATAATATATTATATGAGAAAGAAATAGAGGGGTGGGGAGAAAAAAAAATCCCCTTTATTTGTTTCCTTGCTTGTCGGTGCGCGAACCGGCGGATGAGGGCTTATGCGGATTGAACACATGACCGCCCCATGTTGGCACTGCAGGGCGCGCTGGCGGTGTTGAGAAGAGTCGGCGTGAACTCTCCGCCGACCAGCAGCTGGCGATGGGGTTGTCGTGGCGCTTCGTTGCGCGTTGTCGTGTGTCGACAGGGGAGTCGCCGCTGAGACCGCCGGGTTCACTCAATGCTGTCACACCTGATGATGGCAATTCGAGCGACGGCAGCGGTTCCGACCCGCCAGAGTAGTCTGAAAAGACAAAGTCCGGTGAGGGGGCAAAATCTGGTGAGGGAGCGGTAGCGGCCTGCGAGTGCGGAGCGTAGCGACGAAGATATGCGCGCCATGGAGAGTCGCCGCCTCCGTCCGCATCGCGTCGTCGACGAGCCTCCCGAAGTCGCTCGAGGCTCACAGCGAATCGCAACAGTGTGGCAGGCATCACAACATCGCTCAGGTCGAGTAAGCATAACTTCACAGTACCGTGCAGAGGGACGTGAGCGAAGGCCTTGTAGTGCTTGCGTGATGCCTCATCCTGGGTGAAGGTCACAATCTCCTCCACAGGAGCCTCCACTGTATTTAATAGCGGTGACCCGCGAGCGGCCGCGTCCTCACGTAGCATTTTATACGTCATGGGGTGCAGATAATATGGCTGCCCATTGGACTCACCATACACATCATACGTCACATCCACATCACCCTCAGGACGTTTAGGAGCTATAGGAGGAGAATTGCGAATTCCTGTTTGCAAGGCCGGCGGGGTCCCATCCTGTAACACCAATGCGAGTGTTTCTTCGCAAAAGCGCAGAACCTCATCATCGAATTGGGTTAAGGGTTTGGGTTGGGAGTTAATGGAATTGATTTGATCCATGATGCCAACACAATCAAGACGACGCTGTGTCTCTTCGCTCTCCGCTGTAGAAAGAATATACCTGCTGAAGGTTGCTGATGGTTCATTTTGTGAAGGGAAAGGTAATTCATCCTCTAGCAAATTTTGCTCCCTCCAGCGGTGATCGTCTTGTCGTAGCAGAACACATGATCCTCCCCGACGTCTCAGTAAGGTAAAACTCAGAGGTTTTCCAACACAAGGTGGTTCAATAGGTCGAAGAATACACGGCCGCAACATACCCAAGGTGACAATATTGTTGCATACGGGACAAGTGCGCTGTTTATTCTCCTCTTTACGTCTGGATAAATATTGTAACATACAGGGGAGACAAAAAACGTGCCCGCAATCAGCAATACGTGCAACTGCTGGAACCTCAAGACATATTGGGCAATTAAACTCCTCCATTGTCCATCGTACTACAACAGCTGTAACAGCGTCCCAAGGTGGCGCTGCATCACTGGACGTAAGTGCCTCCTTTAGCCGACGTAGCCCTTGTGGAAGGACTGGCGTTGTTTTCATCTCCTGCACGTCACGTCTGAGTAGAAATTGAAAATTTTGCAACATATAGGCTCGCTTAAGCACAACAGGATCGATGTTCCGTCGGTATGCCGCAGGGCGAGGAGCCATCCCTGGCGAATTACCATGTCGCTCATACTGGAAGTTTCCAATGTCCTTCGCCTCAACACCACGACAACCTTTTTTGTGTTTGGCCATATTTCCTTACTTTTTTTTCCCTCGTACCTACCTCCTTCTTTTTTTCTGTTTTTTTTTCTTTTTTTTTTGTTTCTGCCGTACTCAATTTTTGCTCAGTTCTTTTTTCGTTTGTTTCTGAGCTTTCCTCCGTTGGTTTTCCTTGAGAAAGAATGACCCTCCCCAAGTACCCCAATTCCAAAAAAAAACTAACTTGAACACAGTGTCCTAGCAGAAGGTAGCACTACTAAGCTGGTGTGCACACCGCAACTCTGGTGAGACGCCAAAAAACGTCGTCTTATACAAATACGTCCTTACTATACACACCTATGGTTGATTTGATCTAAGAAGGTTTGTTGGTGTTTCACCTGAACAGAGTGCATGGAACACCAGATACAATGGAAACAGTTTTTTTTGTTTTTTACGTAAACACGTGTGATGGAGGGGAAAGAGAAAAATACAAAGAAGAGAAAGAGGGATAGCTAAAGTACAAGCATTCCACTTTGAAACCATGTGGACATAAACAAACGTGTAAAAAAAAAAAAAAAAAAACGCATAGAATAGCAATAAATGTAGAAAGGGACTACAAATGTGCTGCAACATCCACAAGAAAGTACGTTCCTGTTATTTTGGTTGTCCCATGCTGCCGCACCTCCAGACGCAGAGCCACACACAGAGGTTGTACGTCAATGCTAAACAGTGGCAGACCGATGCGGTGACGCCAAGGTGGCATGCGGTACTGCGCGAAGACGCGTGGAGAAGCGCTAACGAGATCGACAGGTTCATCTAGGAAAAGCTCACCGTAAGACACTGTTTGCTGAGCAGCGATTGTCCACATATGAGAATCTTTACTGGAAACATGTGGCGCCAAGAATTCATTTAACGCCAACATTTGGCAAAATTCGGCAACACAACCATCAATCCGCCATGGCGGAACCACATCTCCACCTACACCTTGATCGACTTTGTTCTTGAATAAAATCTGCTGCATAATAGACCCATCCATCAGTCTTTTTATACTAGAAACAACTTCAGCAGCCGGTACTGTTTCATCCAGGTCACAATGAGGTAGAGGAACTTCGATGTTTTTCTCTTCTTCTTCAACGTATACGTCGCTTGACGAGCCTGTGGCAATCATGGTGGCGATGGGTTGGTGAGTGCTGTTGTAAAGTGATAAACGCACATCCTTCTTTCTTCGGTGCGATGGTGATGTCAACTCTACAGCTCCCATTACCGGGTGTTGGTGAACGAATGGAGTGTATGTTGTGTGGTACACACTATTAAGAACTCCCACTGATTTCCAAAAGTCTTCCTTTGGTGCGTGTAACATCTTTACATGGCTATTCCGCACTGGCCTCGGCGTTGTCGCAAACTCTGCAAGACTGTGTAAAAGTGAATGAAAGTAGCGACCATAGACACCACTGTGGTGAAAAGGTAGGCGCTGGAATGGCAAGAGATTTGGCTGTTGGAGAAAATTCACAGAGAGTGCAGGCCCTGAGAGTGTCTGATACGGTTGAGCAGCAGCAATAAGTGCTTTCCATGGAAGCTCAACCACGCTGTTTCTCAAAGGAGAAATAGCAGACGTCATACTTTCTAACCAAACATTTTCGTTGTTGTTTGGTAGTGATGATGATGGTGGTGATCCATTTTTTTTTTTTTTTTGCAAATAACAACAAAATAAATAAGAATACCAAATAGAGAAATAATATTATTAAGCATCAATAAGAAAAAGAATATGTTTATTAGAGAAAATACATCATATGGTTACAGAGTCACATACAAATAGAAAAGAGCTCTACAGTCTCTTTTTTTCGCTGCATGAAAGAGAAAATTTGTGGTTTTTTTTTTTTGTTTTTATCCCTGAATGTTTGCGATCTCCACTCTTTTGCTCTGAGAACAAGAGGAAAAGAAAACACTGGAAAACTCCTTTGATCTTACAATAGAAGAAAAAAAAAGGAGGAGAAAACGAAAGCAAAAAAAAAAAAAAAAATACAGAATATACTTTCTACTTTGGTCACACCCTGCGAGAAACAAATATACAGAAACAAAGAAAGAAATATTCTATGAAGTTACTATTTTTTCCAACACGAGTGTTCCATAATAAGAAGAGTCAATACAAGGCAATTAATATCAATTTCTCTATTCTGCCAGAAGAATCACCCGACAGGAATTACAAAGTGGCAGATTCTAAGGTCCCTTTCCTCTTCGGACCCTTCCGCGTGGAGGGACTAGGGTGTGGGTGGGACGGAAAAAAAAAAAAAAAAAAAAATCCATTCTTTTCTAATCGCTCAGCCAGATGCTCTTTTAGACTACAACAAAACCCAAGGAAAGAAAAAAATATTACACAACTCCTCAAAAAGTTGGACTGTCATAGACCAAATCCAGATGCATATTCTTTTTCAGAAGCTCCTATAAAAAAATACAAAATGTGAATCTAAAATAAAATTACTTGTAACAGAACTTTACCATAACCAAGTACCTCAATGTACACTGACCAACATCATAAATAATATGTTCAGGGTATATAAGATGAGTTTTAATTTCGTCATTCACTATTAATTTACCTTTCGGCCATAGTATGCCGTCCACAACCTCCGCACCTGCAGGATCTGGATACATACGACCGACACCTTTTGTTGCATTTTTCCCTGATACCGGTTTCTCCATATATTGTGCACTGTAAAGTTCTTCCTGTTTCCCAAGTGCCGCTTCACAAAGTAGCATTAGCCCAGTTTTTGTGTCTTTCGCTGGATAGCAATAGTTGGCCGACTTGGAACACACGTCAGCCAGGTAAATACCTTTTCCAAACATATAACCTGTGCTTGGGGCCTCAGGTGGGGCGATGCGCAATCCCTGTGAGAGAATACCCATAAAATTAGTAACACGTGATCCATGCCATAACATCTGTCGGTTTCCGAGTTTTTTAAATGACTTGAATCGCTTCTCCTCACCCTCTCGTTTAACTGTAAATACATTCGTAACCTCAAGTGTATAGGAATTGTGAGTGAGTCCCTGTGTGTTGCTCGCGTATTCAACAATACGCTTGAAAGCAGGATCGCTCTGCGGTAACGGACGAATCTCGCAATTCAAGCTCTTGTACGCACTGTCAAGTGGATGCATTCCTTCTGTTTCATTTGTTTCGAGGAGAGTCGCCGCAATCTCCAACTCGCCCAATGTCTCTAACATCTCCATTTTCTTTCGCAGCATACTCATAGAATCAATAACAGGTGGTTTACGATTCCCAAAAACATGCGGAATCAGTGTGTAGAACTGACCTGACATTTCTTCTAGTTTCGGTCGAGGTTTTTTCAACTCCTTCTCCAATCCTTTAAGTACCTCATATGCACGTAGGATCTGTGGCTTTGATATCTTTCCTAGTGGCATTTGGTCTGTGTTAATATCCAACTCCCTCATCGTTTGTGTCATGTTGTCCTTGTTTCCAATAAGTCGCATAAGGTACTGTAATTCCTTTGGTAGTGCAGATTCCACCACCTCCTTCTTTTCCATTTTCTTCTTTTTTTTAACTTGTGCAGAATCCTTTTTTTCCACTTCCTCCGCGCCATAGTCAATATCCATGAGGTAGTATTGTCCTTCTACCTTCTTAAAATTTGCACGATTACTCCAACAATTACGAGTCTTTTCGTAAAATTTCTTGCAATACGACCTCACCGCATCTTGAACGTTAGAAAAACATTCAGTCTTGTTCTGACCACTAATACCCACACGTCCCCAGCGGGTGAAGACGTAGTACGGTCCCCCATGATCTGGCTCCAAAAGTTGTAATATGTAATACTTGTTGTTATTTGAGGAAATATTGGTCTGATTCAAAGTACACTGGTACAAATCTTCACCATTTTCGTATACATGACATGAATCAGCTTTCCCCGAAAATGGATCGACGACACCACGGCCTTTTTGCAATAACCTTTGCCGTTTCACACCGCCCTTATCGGTGGCTGCACTTGTCTGCGTGACGACGACACTTGAAGATGGAGAAGGTGGTAAAGGTGATGATGCCACAATTGGACTCGCTGTCTTGACGGACTTATTTCCTCTTGTTCCCTTTTTAGAAGTAGATTTACCTTTTTTAGAAGTAGATTTACTCTTTTTAGAAGCAGACTTACTCTTTTTAGTTGCAGACTTACTCTTTTTAGGAAAAGACTTACTCTTTTTAGATTTAGAACCTTTCAGTGCCGGTGATAATTTCTTTACCATGAGTTCACCCCCCTGTATCGAGTATTTCCCCTTTAAAATAATAATAATAATAATAATAATAATAATAATAATAATAATAATTCTGAGTGGAAAAAAAAAAAGAAAGACAAGTAAACCACAGCAAGTGGAAGCACAAGAGAAAGCACAGGTAACAGAAAATAAAAATAAAAATAGAGAGAGAGAGAGGAAAAAAAAAAAACAAGAAGAGGGAATGGGAAGGGTTTAAAAAAGAAAAAATAATAATAACGATATGTAAACTCCTCAGTTTGAGTTTCTTGACGTCGCTGTTGTAACTGATATGCTAGTGAAATTCACTCCAATATGTCAATCGGTGCTCTGCCTGAGCAATTCTGTTCGCAAAGCAAGATTCTGTGAAGACAGAGCGAATACTTGTCCCCGTAAATCTGCAATTGCTTGACGCAGTTGATGAGTGTTGCGGCGTTCTGCAGCGAGCAGTAGACACCACTGCTCTCGCTCTTTCATCTGACGCTGACGTTCCTCATGAAGCAGTTCACAGGACTTCTGTAGATGTCCCTCTAACTCCAAAACCCTTAAAAGGTTGTTGTTGTTGTTGTTGTTCTGATGATGGTCCTTCTTGGTATCGCAGCTAGGCATGAAAATTAGTGGTGTTCTTTCTTCTTCAGTTGGTGGATCCACAGCAGGAGAAAAAGAAGTGACGTAACCAGCGTCTGTCTCAACATCATCACTATAGTCAGTACCACTACCCCGAATGGCAGGTGTTGCGTCCAACATTTCATTTTGAAGTGGCAATACATTGTTCCACTCTGTATTTGTTCCTTCCGCAGTGGCTAAGAATAATGATGATGATGGTGGTACTAATAGTGGTGGTGGTGGTGGTGGTGACTTTGGGGAGAGCAAGGAAATATCGTTAGTGTTATTTGATAGAAAGGGTTTGAATTTATTGTTTGCAGTCGATGGAGTTCCCACTTCCCCAACGCTACCAAGAGACCAAAGAAGTGAGTTGACCATTGTTCGCTGAAAGCCTTTAGGCCGCTCTAACTGATACATCACAGCGTCCAGCGGAGCCGTCGCCTCTACAACACTCATCGCTATACTACTCTTGTTGCAATTCCCACCACCACCGCAACCCGAGTCGTCACGATCTGTGGATTGCAGCGCTGCCACCAATGCATTTACGTCCTCTGAGGTATTCAAAAAGAGCAACATGTCATATTCGGAGGGAATCTTCAGTCCAACTTGCGGTGAGTGACCAGTCCAGATGTGTATCTCTGCAATACTCCGTGTCGCCAAGCAACGCTGGATGTTGCCATTTTCCATGCAGGAGTACAGATGTGTTGAAGTGATGATAACAAAGCGCCGCTGACGTTTTCCACGACGATTGAGTTTCGTTACTTCAGCAAGGTGCAGAATAGGCACATCTTGCAAAGAGCGGAAGGCATTCGTCAAGCCATGCGGAAGCACAACAAGATTGGAAGGTATCCCGGACATTCACAACTGCACAAAGAAAGAAAGAAAGAGAAAAAAAAAGGGCGAAAGACAAGACTGCCACCACCTCACCCTACCTACTCACTCACTCACTCTTTATGTGTCCTTTTTATCCCTAGTTTCAGCTTTACAGACAGGAAGAAAGACAAACAGACACGGACTCCACTCTTTATTAAGTTACAGAAAGAGAAGGAATTAATAATGTCAAAGAAAAAATAAGAAAGCAAAAGTAATAGCAAAAGAAAAGAGAAAACATCTTTTTTTTTTTACTTTCATATGATGAGGTATCAATAACTTGGGATTCTTTGCAAATAGTCTTTTTCTTTTTCTTCTTCACAATTCAAGAATGTCACACGTACGCAGAAGCACTCATACAGTGCAGAATGGTATCCTTCATGGCTCTCACTTTGTTTTTTTCCTTCTCTTTTCTTTCCCCCATCTTTTTTTTTTTCTTTTCGATCATGTGTGTGTTGGCACCAACACTACATCTGCAGATGGACTAAGGCTCATGTTCTCTAAATCCTCTATAGCCATAGCAATAATCTCTTCCACATCGCGATTAACACGGCCTCCGTTCGGATCCTTGACGCGTCCGTACTTTATGTTAAGTAACTGCAAGAGCACCTCTTTGCGCAGCTGGTCGGGATCTGCCACGTAGTTCTGCAGATAGGCACCGCTGGTGTACTTGAGCACCTGTGTGATCTCCAGCGGCACAAGCCAGTCGGCGGGGTAATAATGTCGTGTTTGTTCCCACAAGAGCGGCAAGTCATCGTGCGGTGCTTTTCCCTCCCGCAGCAACACAGCGCGTTGGTGCAGCAGCGGCCACGGCGGCCGGCGCGGATCGTTCTTGCGGCGCCGCTCCGCCTCGAGTTCGTCTGGCAGTTCGAGCGGGCCCGCCTTCTTAGTTTCCTGCACAGTGAATACTGACAGGAAGCCAACGGAGGTGATGAAGCCAAATAGAAAGATGGACTTTGCTGTGTACGGCTCCACAGGCTGCGCATCCGTGCCGAAGAACTGCTTTGCACTCACAAAACGACGGCACGTTCGGCGTAGCATCGTCGTCAGACTTTGTTCTTTTTACTATTGGTGGTTGTAGTGTCGCTATTTGTGCTTTACTATTCTTTCTTGTTTACTTTGTTTTGTTTTGTTTTTTCTGTCTATGTGTATCACTATTTTTTTTTTAATATGCGTTTTCTTTTTTGTTTTGTATGTATGTATGTATGTGTTTTTTTTTTGTTGTTGTTGTTTTCAATTTACTTAATTGCGGTTCCTCTGCAAAACTGGAATATGGGAGAAAGAGTGTGTTTAACTCAACTACCGCCACGTGCGTCTGGCAGTGACGCGGCTCTTGTCATCACATAAATACAAGACAAAAGGAAAAGAAGGAGCATTAAATGAAGCACATAGAGCAACAGCAGCAGTAGCAGAGGAGGGGGGGGGGAGGAGAAGAAGAAAAGGTGCAAAGGACGAGAACATCCAAAAAAAAAAAAAAAAAAGACAACAAAGCGAACAAGAAAAAAAAAAACTAAAGGCAAACTACAACTACAACAATTAAGACCAAGTCCAAACCCACTATCAGTTTTGACACATCAGAAATTCTCCTCCTGTTTCCTTTCAAACTTTGCTTTCTCCCTGCTCTCTATTCTTCTCCATCTATCTGCATCCACGCATCGGGTGATGTGCTCCGATTTTAGTGGAATGCAGAAGGGGTGTGGGGAGTAGGAAAGGAAAAAAAAAGAAAAAAAAACACCAAGAAGGAGGGGAAAAAGCAATCATCATCATCATCATCATCATCATCATCATCATCCACTCATTTCCTGTCATTATTTCTCTACAATTTCACTCTTCTTTTTTATATCCTGCTATGGGCATTCCGTCATCTTCTTTCTCTTCATCGTTCATCTTTGCCACCCTTCACTCTATCTCTATTTCTCTCTCTCTCCCTTTTTTTTTATTTTTTCCATACATACAAACCATACACATATCTCAGTTGTCCCACACACACACACACAGTAGACTTTTTATTAAGACTTTACATCTCGTATCCCAACGTAACTCCGTCTCCTCGCGTATTTTCTCCACCTCTACCATGCGACCGCTGTTTTATTGGTGTGTGGCACAATGGGCAATTGCGGAAACGATCAGCATCTACCTCAATAATGCGGTGGTGACAAACTGAACACTGCCAGAAGTCATCTGAGACTATGCAACGACCAGAAAAGATGCAAACACCGAATGGTTGTTGACAACGAATGCAGCACGACGCCCACTCCTTATTAAAGGCTTCGCATTTGGGACACTTTACGCGATCCACAGATGTGTCCTCTGGTTTGTACTGCGTAAAGATCTTTACAGCGAGGTCAGCAAATCGGCGTCGTGGTTCTTTCAAACTGACAGTTGGATAGGTAAACTGTGTTGCGGTTACCATGCCCTTTGATGGGTTTGTAAGCTGTAAAGAGGTTGTTGTACCATCAAGTCGGGTAGTGCCCCCAGTAAGGCCTTTGGTGTTTCTGTTTGCAGGTCGTGTTCTGTTGGTAACATCAAGGTCCAATGTCAAATCAATGAGTTGTAACTGTCCAGCTGCGACTGGTCCACCCTCTTGTTGCAGTTCCTGCTGCGCATCTAACTGTTCTGCTGCCTCAAGGCGGGTAAAAGCCTTGCTGCAGATACTGAAGTTCTTCGCCAGGTAGGCTGTAAGTGCAATGAGACTGTAGCTGTCAACCGGACTGATGAGGTCGTCATAGTCCATGAGCCGCATTGCCGCATTAAGTGCGTATGGGAGATTGCGACACAAGATGTGTTGTTGGCAAAGTAAAAAGAAGTGAAATGCTTCCGCACCTCGCCAAGCAGCGTCTAATGTACGCTCTGATGTTGTTTTTTGCTCTGCGTTTAGTAGTGCATCCACCGCCGCCGCACCATCACCGCTAAGTGTCATCTTCTTCCGCCGATACTTCTCAATTTCAAGTGCTGAGAGAACGTAGAACTTCTTTGCACGCAGCGGATCCGTCGCGGCGGAGCGTTGTCCCAACCGTGCAAGAAGCCGCGCCGCCTCATCGTGTTGTCCGGCCTTGCGGTATAACTCAATTGCCTCTGGTAGACGTTCGCTCTCAACAAGACGTGCGGCCTGTCGCCCAAGCTGAGGTGCAACATCGGTGATTTTGTGTGACTCGGCAATAGACATGGCACGATCCCACATGTGCAGCTGCACACAACCGTCAACAGCAAGTCGCGGTTCGCCAGCTGCAAGAAATGCCCGTGAGGCTTCATCACCGAGACCAACAGCAAGCAGCATTTCACCAATCTTTAGAAGTAATTCCTTATCATGTTCAGCGTTAGTGATAAGTTGTGCGAGAAGTTCATAGTCCTCCAGTAGAAAAAATATATGAGCAAGTTTGTGTAATTGTCGACATTGTGTGTAGTATTGTGACGCTTTGGTCCATTTTTGTCGGTCGGCATAGTAATCACCGATATTTTCCCATGCTTTCTGCATATGTGATTCATCACCTCCACCTTCTTGCACAAGTTGGACAACACGAAACCAATCACCAATACGATAGCGTAATTCAAGTGCAAGATCTTTACGGTCTATCTCCTTGTATATCTTTTCTGCTTCATCAAAGCGATGATAAAAGGCATGAATCTCTGCTCGTTGTTTCTGTGGATCATCTAACATTTTTACACGCTTAACAAACTGTATCGCTGGGTAGTCCTTGCAGCGAATAACAGCTGCTTCCGCGTGGTCAAAGTCAAGTTGTGAGAGAGCTTGTTCTGCAAGCAATTCCCATAGCTTTGGATGTGGATGTTCATCAATAAACATAAAGGCTTCCTTCATTGAGACATTTTGAATTACCTGTCTGGCATCACGTAGTACACGTGTTTCGTAATCAACAATATACTCTTTACGAGGCCTCTCTGGATCTTGCATCAACTCATCTAGCTGCAGAGCGCGAACCTTTAGAGATCTAAATTTGCAGATGTACCCACTAGAGTGTACCGGTTCCTCCGCCTCCGTGCCATGGAAAATGTACATGCGAGATTTCTCCAATACAACAAGTTGCTCAGGATCATCTTGTGCCCATTGAATATTCCATACATCTTTACGCTCAAAGTTCGGTTGTGGCGCTATTTTGCGGGGCACAAGTGAGAGATTCTCAGGATCTATGTGGAACAATGCCAAGACACCGGCGAGGTCCACCACTGCGAGTCGTGTTGAGTTTACATTAGCTGCCATAAACTGTACACGGACTGGTAAAATAATCTTACCAACGAGATGCAGTGGAGCAAAGCGATATAGCTGTAACAGACCAGATTCACGTGCTACAAATAGAAAATCCTCACTCACACAAAGCGCACATACAAGATCATTCGTCACGGCGGTGTGACCAATTAATGTCGCTGGGGTATCAGGACGCACAATCTCATCCACATGGACCACACGATCACGTGTTTCACGGCGACTTGCCTGCACTGAAATGGGATCAAGTGCGTCCACAACGACGCTTGGATCACGAAACTGCCAAACGTAAATATTCTCCTCATCTGCAACAACCATGTGAGAGGAGTTCATACCGCAGACGAGTGGCACCATCTCTAACATACGAGTCTCCATTGGACTCCCGATGGCATTCACAAGTTCAACAATAGAGTGACGTCCATCATCTGGCGAGTTAACAATCATACAAGCATCTTTGCAGGAGTCAATGTGGAATAGACCACGAATGTGGCGAATAACACGCTCATTGCTCCTTATATTCCAAAACATAACACTGTCCTCAAGACGATCAGGTCGATTATATGCAAAAACAACTGTCTTGTTGAAGTAGGTATACTTATAGTCTGGTCGCACATTGGCAAAGTAAAGTGCAGCGTCAATGGCAATAGCAACACGTAGACCATCACCTTCCCATGTGACACCACCGCAATGATTACCGTTAACACGCAGCGAACGCAAATGAATCCCTTCTGCATTAAAAAACTGTACCACTACCACTGAAGTTGATGTCGATGGAGGTACTGACTCTCCTCCTCCAGCAGCAGCAGCCCCACTGGTGGAATTTGTTGCTGATGATGTAGATGTAACACCGCACACAGCCAGTGTTGTTCCCTGTGGATTCCACGAAATACAGGAAACAGGAATTCCAGTATCAACAATATACGGATGCGCATCACCAGTACCATGCATCAATTGCATTCTACCAGACTTGTAGCAGACAGCGAGCATAGCGAGAGGCGATGGTCTATCCACCCACGCAGGATGCCACGAGAGACCTGCAAGAGGTGCTTCATCCGTCTGACACGTAATGCTGACGCGATTCATAAAGACTCCACTACTACTGTCGTGTACGTGGACCTCACCATTCTTTGTTCCAAAGAGAATGCACCGATCATCAGGACTCCATGTCACTTTTGCAAGTTCATTTTTTAGATCTTTTCCCCATAGTCGATTGCCGTCCACACCGCCAACAATAACAGCACCATCCTCGTAAATGATACAAACCTTTGTACCATCTGTATTCCATGAAAGATCTCGCACAGTACTCTTATTACGGTTGTTAATCATCTCTTCGAGCCACATTCCTTTGTGAAGCATCCATACAATGATCTGTCCCTTTTCATCACTGGAAGTGAGTTTGCGGTACTGGTGGTTCCACGCCACGACAGAGACATCTGCGGTATGTCCTTCAAGTGTTTGATTCATCGTGAGGCCGCCCTTCTGTCCAGCACCGTTATCAATCTTCAGTACTTTGAGCAGTCCACCTTTTCCACCACACGCAAGCCAACCTTGCTCCTCGTTCCACGCAATGGATGTGATCACATTGCTTGTCGGTATAGCCACACGCTTGCTAAAGTAAACAAACATTCTTTATTTGTCCCTTTTATTTTCTTTTCTTTTTTTTTTTTGTTTTTATTTCGTTGATTGCCTTTTGTTTTGGTTTTTCTTCTTTTCTTTTTTTGATGTCAATCTTTTTTCTATTTCTTCGTTGAGACTGCACCTGTGTATGTGTGTGTGTTGTATTTTTTCTTTGAGTGTATGTGTATGTGTATGTGTTTTTGCCCTTTTATTGATGTTGTTGTTTTTCTCACCCTCTCCTTTTTCCTCTACTGCACACCTTGTGCTATCGTCTTCGAATTTCCTTCCTAATCAGCCACTACAAGTACAAATGTATGAAGGCAGAGCCAAGAGAGAAATTGGCGAAAATGAGATGAAAAACAAGAGAAAAGAGAATAATAATTTAAAAAAAAAAAGAGAGAGAGAGAGCAGAGAGGAATTCAGAAACCCCTGTTATGATACAATTACAGAGGCATAAACCACTATTAACTGCAGCAAAACAGAAGCAAACAGCAGACCAAGAAGTCAAAGAGAATAGGATTCCAACAAAAAAAAAAAAAGAAAATATGCATTTGGAACTATGGTGAAGTGCTTGTTGCTTCTTCCATTGCTGTGGCTCCAGAAGATTGACAGGATGGTGCATCCTTGCCGAGACGCCTACAACATTTATATCCCCAGCGAAATTCGTTGCGATCAAAGTAACTTCCGTAGACGCATGCATGACCGTTACGAGTCGCCATACCTGCACGAGGATGTCGAGAGGCTAGTGATAAGGACGGTGTCGAAGGAAGGATCACAGAAGAAGAAGAAGAAATTGCTGTTGTCGTATTTATACTAGCTGATGTTGTTCCTGTTGTTGGTGGTGCAGCAGCGCTAACAACACCAGCGAGCGCCTCCTTCATACGTAATGAACTCTCCACTGAGGCAAGTGTGGATTCACCATAGAGCGAACGTACCAGACGATCCCGTGCCGTCTCTTCACTGTCACCAACATTATTGCTGCTACTAGTTATACCACCTTCCTTTTTCTTCTGTTGATCTTGCTCACCCTGTGGTTCTTTCTGTAGTGCCTTCTGCTTCTGCAGCTGCTCGTCAAGTTTAAAATCGACAAACGATGAGGACTCTCCCGTCAAGAAGCGCATCTGCATTTCGAGATATGTGTAATAGTCACCCGAGCGATAGCGTTCCAGATCACCTTGAAACACACGTGTTGGGTCTGCCGCGTTTGGATTTCCCCGCATGGAGCCCGTCTTTGGGTCAAAGAGTAAACCGTCGTTGTCAAGATTCTGCAGATGTTTGGGCAGTTCTTTTATCTCCGCACTACCGCCCGTGGTTGCAGTCCGCGCAACAAACACATCCTGTAGTCGAGGCCGCTTCGCACCAAGACCTGCTTTCTCCCTATCTCCATCCGCCTTCTCCTCATCCTCATCCTCATCCTCTTGTACTTGTTGTTGCAGGAGATCAACACCAGCGGCCGTGGCGTATCGATCTCGTTTTTGCGCGTAACTCTTCTCCGCTTGTCTAACTTGCATGTCTATGCCAGTTACTTTACCACTAAACTGTGCCCCAATCTTCTTGCGAGGCTTGTAGCATTGATCCGTTTTGTGCGTGTTGGAGCCGCAATTGCCACACGCCCCCGCCGCATATTTTGTCGCCTTGCCTAATACAATCGCCGTATCGTGTTGGTCCTGCAGTGTGTCCATCGCGTCAGTGTGTTTTTGCCGTTGATGGTCAAGTGTTGGGCCTGTGGCACCGTAGTACCATGGGGCCTGTGAGATGAGTTGCGGCACGTTTGGGCTAATCTCTTGACCAGTCAGTTCATCCACCGCTAATGGCGCAAGACCGAACTTACGCTTCTCCTCTAACTCACGCTTTTGACGTAGTCGCTGCCGCACGGTCATACCGGCTTCCTCAGCGGTGTCGTTCTTTTTCTTGTTTAACATTACCTTTCCTTAACACGAAATTCTGTTAGGGGAAAAAAAAAGAATGCAATTGAGTTAATGGAAATAATAATAATAATAATAATAATAATAATAATAATAATAATAATAATAATAGTGGCAAAAGTAACGTATCTCAACGACTACGCAATCCTGTATGTGTATTTCTTTCTGTGTGTGTGTAAGAAAAAAAAAAAAAAAGATAAGACGCTGAACCCATGCTTCGTCTTGCATCTTTGCACCAATAATTATAAAAGAAAGGAGAGATCCATGACTCCCCTTGTCTCACTTTTTTTTTTAAATAAATAAATAAATAAATAATCATAATCATAATTGGACGATTCAACCTTTTCTTTTATCCTCTCTTCCTTTATTTTTCTTTTACTATCTCTCAGGTAAACCGTCCAAACTATATGTGAACACAACATTTCTCGCACTATGCAGACACGTGTTGTAGTAAAAACGATCATCACAATATCTCCATATGATACCGTATTCCTCTACTAGTCCCGTTTTACATCTGCGGTGTGGAACCACGGGATACGTACAGCTGGTAGAGTGGTGGGCAGAAGTTCGGCCCATAGATATCAAAGATCTCTTCAATCTCCTCACTACCAGTGGGGTCTGAGAAGAAGTCAAGGTGTAGCGCAAGACAACGGTTAAATACAGGAGTTAATATTTTCGGGTCACGCACTTGAAACTTCGCCAGTGACCACAAGAGCCGTCGCGCCTCACCTGCGTCAATTTGACGGCAAACATACACACTGCGCTCAGAAAGGGCAACAGCCATATCCTGTTGCAAGAAATTAGTTCTTGCAAACGCATGGGCGGTGTTCACAAGACCTGTTGCATCAAACTGATCGGCAATACTCGCGGCATGTGAGGCGAGGCGTTTAAACAATTCCTCATCCTTTAATCCAAAATGTGCAAGTGCAGTAACCGTCTTTGATATATCGCGTGCGTCATGGTCCTGCACTACCGCCAGTGCACGTTCTGCCAAGTTATCGAAGAGCTCCGGGTTATTTATACCGATGCGTTGAAAGGCATTCAGAGTTGTACTGATGTACTGTGCGTTAAACTCATCAATAAGTTCCACCGCACGATTTGTGAGAACGCCAAAAAGCTGATCGTAACGGATGCCAAAATATGCAAAAGCCATAAACATGCTAGCCACCTGCTCCGCATTCATCTGATCCACATACTCCATCGCCTTTGTGGCAAATCGCTTGCTGAGTTTTGGATCCTTTAGTCCGATTTTAGAGAAGGCAACGATAAGCGGTACGAGTTCATTTACCGTAACGCGCTCCCGTAGAGACATTGCACGGCGTGCTATCGCACCAAAGAGAAACTTATCACGGAACCGCAATCGTGAGAAAGCGTTGGCTAAAATAACAAGATGGGCAGCCTCAAACTCCCCCACACGTGCCAGAGTTTGTACACGTTTTGATAGAAACCCATAAAGTTTCTCATGATTAATACCAGTCTTGGAAAAAGCACTTATAATGTTCGTAACACCCTTCGCATCAAGGTACTTTGCGTTACGTGCAGCCTTCTGCGCCTGCATCTCAATCACCTCACGTGCATCACGTGACTTTAGTGTCGCACAAGCAGTCACAACAATGGGCAGAACATCAACTGTGATAAGTTTCTCATTCTTTAGGCAATAATCAATACACTCACGCACAACTTTAGCATCACTCTCCATTCCAAAGTAAACAGCAGTGTTTAGTAACAATGCTACAGAGCGAGCATCAAGACTTTGACCAGCAATAGATGTTGCAAAAAGAACACGGCGTGCTTGCTGGGCGAGCATAGGGTTTCCACCACGCTCCTGGTGCAGTTTCTTCATCTGTAAGGCTTCCGTGGCGATGTTGCGTGCAGAGAGATGTGAACCACCCTGCGGATCACTTGGGAGAGAAAGTTCCCCTCCGTGAATCGTGCCAATCAGAGAGTTACTCTGATGGCGTACGCTAATACTAATAACAGTAGCAGCGGCATGTTGCTGCTCGTGTTGGGGTTGATGGAAGTGCCACCGCAAGCGGCAACGCCGCAGCGCACACCGCATATCCCACTCTATTTAAGGTTTCTTTTTTTTTTTTTAATGCTTTTGTTTACCTTACTTTCTCTCTCTCTCTCTCTCTTTTTATGAACCAGCGAAAGGAATGTAGAAAAAAGACAGAGTACAATATTGCAGTCGTGAAAACACAAACTCAGCTTCACACATACATACATATAAATATACATACAATGAGAGCGAGAGAAGGAAACGGGCAAACAAAGAGAGAAAGTGATAGTTGTGAGTGAGAAAGAACTAAAAAAAAAAAATACACAAATACAAACCTTGAACAATCAAAAAAATAATAATAACTAAAGAAGAATCTCATTCATCTACTTGCGTGACTTTTTGCTGTGGAGTGTCGTTCAGTGACGCCGTCAACCGTGCCGCGTTAACACTCCCCTCGCGGAACACCGCGCAGTGGAACGGTGTGACGTACAACTCCCTAGGCACACGCTGCAGGATGCGGTTTTCACGGCTCAACATTGCCATAGCATCGTTTGTCTCTTCACAGCGCACAATGTATCCATCACGTTCGGGGAATAGTCGTTGCAATTCACGCCTTGAAAGTGCATACGGCGGCCCACGCATAGTGTTTCCACGCACTCGGCCAGTTCGGAAAATACCCTCAACATACATCACACCATCATCAGCGAGTGCCTGTCGCAGTAAATAGGCGTAATCCTCGCGCTGATCGCGGTTCAGCGATGTCATTCCCTGTCGCTCGTAAATGAGATCAAACTTCACCCCGCGCAATGGTCCCTGCCACAACTCCGGTGCGAAGATATCACGCCAATGGAGATGAATACGCTTAAACTCATCGTCGTCAAGTGCACGTTCAGTGCGAGCTACACATGCACGCATAGCCGTCTCAGATGCATCCACGGCATCCACCTCGAACCCGCGTACGGCGAGTTCTCGGACAATCGGCGAGTCACCACAAAGTGGCACAAATGCACGCGGATGCTCTTTCTTTGTTGTAAATATTTCTTTTATTCCTTTCTTTTCTCCATGTTGCTTAAATGCGTTAGCATCGTACATGTCTCTACCCGTTACAGAACGCACAAAGTCAAATGGACCCCGATAAAAACCTTCCGTTGACTCACCCGCCCGCCAGAGCGGATTGCCCTTTAGCCACTCGTTCTCCCACCATGATGTCGACATATGCGGCATGGCAGAAGGTGGTAGTGGCACAAATTTATATCCAAGCATCTCACGGTACTCATCAAGAAGCCACGGGCCGAGAAAAACAGCTGCGCCAAGCAGAATAGCGCCCACACCAACCCAGCCTTGCATACGAGTTGCAGTGATGGCGTGTGGCAGCCAACGTCTATTACCACCGCTGCTGTTATTGCTACCAGCATTTCTCTTGCGAAAACGATTAATAAGAATATGGGCGTCAAGCTCGTCACCAGTCGGGATTCGAAACCCGCTACGTTGCAGCACAGCACGCCGCATGATCACTGCGCGTGACGGTACCCTCCTGCTCTACTCGCACACACACACACACACAAAGAGAGAGAGAGAGAGAGACACAGACACCACGAATGGGCTGCACCGTATAGAGGAAATGAAGAAAGAAGAAAAATAGAAAAAAGAAAAGGGATACTACACTAAAGACTGGAAAGCACGCTAAACAGTACAACTACAACACAGAGGAAGAACTCAAAAGAATAAGGGTTACAACATACAGAGTATAGATGAAAGATAAAAAAAAAAAAAGATTTTGATCTTAGACGCAGACATCGACACACATGCACAGAGAGAGAGAGAGAGAGAGAGAGTTTTCGGAAACATGTCAGAAACATGTCAGCGGAGTGCTGTAGGACACTGTGCTAGGGCAAGTAACACGTACATGTTAGCGAAAAACTCGTGAAATGCTCTCCCGAGTTTTATATTGATGGTACCATCATTCTGCTGCAGAACCTGATGGAACACACAGACTGTGTAATCGTATGTTATAACAATCTCTCGCAGTGCTGCTGTCATGCCTGGTACCTCCACTACTTCAAGCGCATCTTGTTCTTCTTCACCGATGCGCCACGCCTCACCGTCCGGCAGTCGATTGACCAACGATGGGTGTACGCGCAACAGACACTGTTTAAATTCTGTAAGGGCAGTAGGCAGAGCTCGCTCAATAGAGCGTCTATTGCTGAGGTTTGTGAGAGTTGAAAGCATATTACGGTCAGCGCGTAGCACAATGCCACGCAACATTGCAACTGCCTCACGTACATCATTGTATTCACGACGAAAAGTAGCAGAAGAAGAAAAATGCAACAAAGGTGAAGGTGGTATACTACCACTTCCTACAGAACCACCATTACTAGTAGAAGGAGCGGCAACAACAGATGCTGCACTAGCGACCTTATTTTCTCGTAATGATAGAGATGGGGGTGGTACTCTTCTAAAAGTCTTTGGACCTCGTAACTGTACACCTGTGTGCAATTTAATGAGCGGTCGTGCTGTGGCCCGTGGTTGTGATGAAATGGAAAAGGCAGTCGAAGAAGGCTGTCGACTGGCAAGTTTTTTGGGTGTTACGGAGGGTCGTTGGAAATTACCAGCAGGACGATTACTGCTTGTGCTGCGTTCTGTTCTGGCCAAAGATGGCATGTGCGGTTTTGGTGAAGCCCCTCGAAATACAGCAGCAGGAGAACTACCATTAATACCTACAGTTGTATCCGTCGTAGGTGGTGCAACGGTAACAGAAGGTGATCGTGATGATAGTTGTCGTCGCCGCACCTTTCGCGCAGCAGGAGTTGTAGGTGTTGTCTTTTCTACTCTAGTTGCTGGTGGTGAGGATGATGTTGATGATGATTTACCGTTTGTTCGACTCTGTACTATATTTGGCTTCAAAGATGAATTCCTCTGAACAGGTTTGGTGGTCTGCAGAACAGAGTTTTCCCGGGGCTTTGCAGAACCCGCACGCTGCAGTGCCTCGCTGCCCCCACGCATCGTAAGAAGAAGACGACGCAGACGTACTAGTTCGTCCTGTAGTTCTATGATTTTATGAAGGCGGAACTCTGAGAGTCGTTTAGCTCCACTGAGCTCCTGCTGTAGTTTCTCATTGTAAGACTTCTCATGGAGGCCATTCATATGTACAACCAAAAAAAAAAAAAGGCTACCCAGTAGCAAACGAAAGGGATTTACAATAAATTATAGAAAGAAAAAGAGTGTGAGAGAAAGGAAGAAATAAATAAATATATATATATATATATATATATATATATATATATATATATAATAAAAAGGGGTAAAAAAGCAAGAGGGCATCTGCACACTCTTGTTCACCTTTTCAAGTCAAATTAGGAAAGAAAAACACAGAAGCCGAGCAAAAAAAAAAAAAAAAAACAATACTGAGCAAAGTCTGAGAGTCCAGATATAAGCAAATGTAGAAGCAGTAACACATCAGAAATAAAGAAAAAGAGCATCGGCAACGCAAAAATAAATAAATAAAAATGGAATCAGACCTCCTGAAGAAGAGCCGAAACCTCGTTCCGTGTCACAGACATCTCAATTCCTTCATACATTGGCCAACGTAAGAGTGCCTCCAAAAAATCTATCTTCTGCAGCAATAATATGCCAAAGTGCTGCCACAGACGCTGCAACAGTGTACAGTGGAATGATTCCTCCTGCTTTCCGGCTACATCACGAAGAAAGTGCTTCTTCATTCGTTTAGAACTTGAGGGTATGCCATTGCGCATCTCTCGCGGCAGAGAGCGCAAGACACGGCGGACGGCCTCCACTGAAAGCGCATTGTGATGCCGCAACTCTTCACGCGAGTGTACGCGTACCAAATCTTCGGCGACTAGTACAAAACTACCGAATTCCGTAAAGTCTTTTACAAGGACCACACGCGTAAGGTATACCTCCTCGTAACGGTCACGCAACAACTCAGAGGACTCATTACGTTCACGTAAAAGATCCACTGCGTAGCAATTAGTTGGTTGTAGTGAAGTATAAAAAGCGCAGAAAAAAGCATGATGGCGATACTGTTGAATAAATCCTCGCTTGGCAGATTTGTTGTCTACACCATCTAGGAGTTTAATAGCCCGCATTGCGATGGTTTCGGTTATACTAAGTTTTAAATCTCTACGTGTATCTTGGCCTACAAGGTTTGTAATATAATTTAGTGCTTCAAATGATTGGTCAACAAAACTAAGTGCAATAGACGCGTAGTCGTTGCGACTACAGATAGCAGGTGGAAGTGCGTCATGTATCACCTCCATACGTTGCACAAAGACCGGGAGCTTTGTGAAACAGCTCAACATTCCTGCAGGGTGTAAAAGATAGCGTCGCCGGCATGCAGCAATGGATGCTGTCTGTTCAGCAATGCTTCGTGAGATTATGGACGCCACAAGACGCTCAAGAGCCTGCAGCATAACCAAGCAGAAAGAACTCGCAGCGGTGCGTGTCCCTTCGCGAAGGTACGCCTTCACCATAACGATAACTGGAACAGCGTAAAGACGATCACACTTCTCACCACAGTATTCCGCGAAACCCAAAAGTTGTTGCTGCAGAAAACAACGTTGTTGCGCCCGTCTCAGAATGTTAACAGAGTTACGATCAGCATCATCAATGGCAGTTACTTTACTACCAGAAAATTCTGTCTCGTTTCCTTGCAGCTGTGATGTAGAGTTCGTCGCAGCAGATGAAAATTGTACCAGCTTGTCACCTCCAAACAATTCTAGCAAAGATTCACCAAGTAGTTCAGATGCATCTCTTTCGCCAATCGTCAAAGCGGTACTGTTGAGTACGGTGGATCCCTCGATAGAATTGTCTACATTTACCCGTTCTTTTTCGGCAAGACCGAAGCACTGTCGCATAATTTCCTCCTCCTGCAATACAATAGTAAAAGTAGTCTCAATTGCTATTGCAAGCGCCAAATCAGGTCGAAGTTCACCATTCTTTTTTCCGGCAAAACCTGAGGTCAATGAAAATGCAGATGATGCAGATGGGGTGCCCACATGTACACTTGACCGATCATACAAACGTAAAGACTCATCTTGACAACAAGGTAGTTCTACCGAAACCACTTCATCATTGTATTTACTGTTATTACTTTGAGCAATACTATTAGAGCGACCACGCGGAGTTTGTGCCAAACTTGGATCTGGAGAAGATCGCAAGCTACCACCCCACAAATTTGTTGAGGCTGCTCCTCCTGCTACTGATCCTGATCTTGATCTTGCTCCTGTTCCTCCCATTGTTTCCACGTGGGTGGCGAGCATGTCATCGGGGGAATCACGCACGCCAAGAAGAAAGGGTCCACGTGAACCCACTTTTTTAACTAACTCTCTCAAGTACTTAAAAAATCTGTGTACCTCAAGTGCGTATACACGTTGCATACTTACACGATAGCGACGCAAGACGGCAATATACCCCTCTAGATCAATATGGGCGAGCGCAGTAATCATATCTCGAATGCTCATGAGTTGCCCCATTAATTCAGTGTGCATTCGCCATACAACTCGACCCTTGCCACTATATCGGTTACGGTCTGCCAGGTAAGCCTCTTCGTGTTTGCTAATTGTAGCAAGGATATACGCTTTTGAACGATGTGCAATCATACGACGCTGTTCCGTGAAAAACGCCCGACGCTCTGCTACAGCTGCAATAGGAAAGTCTGTGCTAAGTTTCGTATTATGTAACAGTGTTCGCATGTGTTTCATCGCATCCGACAAGATCTGTGCGTTATTCCCTTCTGCAAAGAAACTAACCAAATCTTCATCCCTTGTGCTACGGAGCCGGAGCAATAAGGCTGATGTCTGCTTCGGGAGACTTAACTGACCACAGAATTCCTCTAGGTGTTCATGAAGTTTTTCCAGATTCCGCTGTTTACGTTGGAGTTTGTTATTCTGGTGCTCAATGCGCTGCAACTGATCCTTCTTGGACAGTATATGACGTGAGTACTGCGCTATGCGTCCCTCCAGCTCCTCCATGTCTGTGATGATATCTGCGATACGGCAGCGGACCCCCTCCCACGCACTGCCTGATGTGAGTAGCACCGCAACGGCTGCGAGTTCTGCTTCCTTCTGTCTTGCGAGCAGCCGGAGTTCCGTGCTGCGCACGTCATCGAAACCGTTGGGGCCGAGAAACGCCTGCAGTCGTCGCTCGTCCTCGCCGCTGAGCGCACGGTGGCGGGCACGGCGGAGGCCCTTCACTCGGGCGGCCGCATCCGCATCCGCGGCGGCCCCGACGGCGTCCGTCAAAAATGCCTGCACGGCGGGCCCGGGGCCGCTCTGCGCGAGTGAAATTTGGAGCGGCTGGAGGTCCCGCTGCACACGCCGCACAGCCGCCACGAACATCTCCCGCTGAATGTGCGACTCGAAGGCAACAGAGATCATACCACTGCTTCCAAAGTTGAAGGTCGCGTCAAAGTTACCATCGTGACTCACGTCAACAAGACGTGCCACTACAAAAACCAGCTTCACCTTTATAACACGATCAGACTCAACACGCAAAACATTTAGTGTCGTTTGTGAAACAGAGGAAGAGGGGGAGGACGGTGAGGCAGATGCGGCAGCACCAAAGGGTCGGCACAAAGCAATCATCCGTTGTTTCTGTCCTTGGCCGGACGTACCACGCCCTATCACGGCGACGCTCTCACACGCCAGTACCTCTTCATGACGCTGGCGAAAAACAAGTTCTACGAGGGACAGTACCCCATCTGCATTTGAAGACATTTTTCTTTTTCTTTGTTTGCCTTTCTTTATTCGCCTTTTTGTTTGCCCTATTAACCTTTTTTTCTTTCTTTCTACTATCGTAAGTTGTTATCACAACCTTTCGTTGCACTAACTAAGGTGATGAAGGAATGAAAGAAATCAATATATATAGCCAAGATGGTATAATAAGAGAATATACACATAGATTTTCTTGTAATAAATAAAAAAAAAATATCAGGTGTTTTTTTTTTTTTTTCTCTCTATGTGTGTGGTAGTCAGGCGATAAGAAGAAGAAAATAAGTACTCTAATCCACCTGTATTCCATCACATCTCTATAACTCCTCAGAATACTGAAGGAGTGGGTGGCAACGGCATGGGAAGGAGGAGTGTATCAGGTACTCCTGGTTGCACACGAAATTCCTGGAAAAGAACAGTGTCATTTGGATCGAGTGAACTAAAAAGTAAACTATCACACAAATGCCGTCGAATATCAGGACCATTTCGCCGACGCTCCTCTTCCAGTGCGGCATCTTTACGGCGCGCAAATTTTTGAAAAGTTGCGTCCATAAGGTCATCAATAACAGGTGATTGCGATCGACGACGTTGTTGTCCCTGTTGTTGTTCTTGTTGTTGTTGACGTTGTTGTTTTCCTTCTTGTATCTTAAGTACGTCGCCTTTCCCCGGCTTATCCACGCTGTCATGAGGACGGTCCTGTATTCTGGCGTCTGTTGAAGTGAATACTCGCGCGTGTAACCCATATGTGGGTAACTTCACCGGGTAACGATATTTCAGAGCCTCCAATTTCAGTGAATTCTCCTCTGCATACTTAGCATAGTTAAATTTCGCCTCCTCCAAGGCTTGCCGGTGGTCAACCAACATCTTTGTGCTCTGACTCTCCGGCAAAGGCATCTGCTGTAGACCTTCTATTTCTGATCCTGATTCTACTGAGTGACTATTCTCAACGATGTGGCGTGCCTTACGTGGGTCCATCCGTGTACCCGCGCGTAACCCAGTGATAACCGCCGGTGGTCCCAATTCAGCACCGCGGAGTACCCGCTGCAGCGCCTGTGGTGAAAGAGAGGAAGTCACTCCGCGCGCAGTCATAAGTTTGTTCTTGTTATTCCCCTTGTTGTTATTTTTCATCATTGTGGCCACTGTCTCGCCCTGTAGTGGTTCCGTCGTTTCACGGCGTGTTGTTCCAGCAACACCGGCAGCTGCTGCTCTTGCTGCTGGTGTAGAAGCGGAAACAGACAAATGGGTTGGGTGTAGAGGAGGGCGGGGTGACGAAGGAATGGAATCGGGCGGTAATCGGCGGGGTGGGAAACTTACGCTGCGTAGAGTTTCTGCCGCACCAGTTGTGCATCCCATCACACTGATGCTACTTGGTGGGAGTGAACGCTCAGAACAGCTGCCGTCTGCGGTATCACGAAAAGCTGCCGATAGCGATGCTCCGGCAATAGCAGTAGAAGTAGTAGGATCATCATTCCCATCATCATCACAACCTTCCAAAGCAACAACATTAAGATCAATATTATTATTATTATTGGTAGTAGTCATAGTAGTAGGATCGTTTATTTTTTTATCTGTCATAAAATATGGATCAAGAAGTGGAGCAGACTCTCTTTCTGTTACTGACACAGTTGTCTCCTTAACTTGATCATACAAAACAGCATCGTCATGCTGCGGATGAATAAAGTGGTGTGACGAGGATGTAGAGTACAAACGAGATGATGTATCATCATCCTTATCATCCTTATTATTATCATCATCATCATCATCATCTATCAAAACCACAATTTCCGCCTCATCAGCAGCATTATCGCCGTCATTCGGAGATGTCTTCGGCACAGCAGCAGGTGTTTGAATATTCGGCTGTGGTATATCATCACTTGCTTCATCACCACATCCTTCTTCTTCCTCCTGTGGCAACAACTCTGCAACAGCCCACTTCCACACATCCCCAGCGGTAGTCACTACCACCATCGTGCCATTTGCAAAGAGTTGAATGCCAACGACAGAAAAACAAACGTCAAATCGCACTCGTTCTACCATTTTACCACTAGTTGTATCTATGCTCAAAAGAATAACAACTCCAGATGCAGTCCCACATGCCATGAACCCTCCCCCACAGCTCACACAGCTTATCTGCACATCAAGCCGAAGCACACCCACAGAGTTCCAATCAGTGGTGGTACTACAAGTAGCAGCGGAATCCAATAAAATTTCTTTTTTCTCAACTAGTTTCACTGGGGAGAGTGGAGGTGAGTAAATTGACATAACACTGGGTAAGCAGAGTGCTATGAACCCGTAACCTGTCGGCGAACCCAAAACTGGTTGTAGCGCAACAGCCGGTGCCATTTCATGTCTCAGTGCTGCAATAACTTCACCTGAGGCAAGCGACAAGACATAACAACGGTAATCCGCTGAGGAACACAAGACATATTCGCGCTGCATAGTGATACACATAACAGTGTCGCTGAATACCGATTGACGCCACATAAGAGTTGTATCTGATACGTCCTTCTGCACACGCCAGAGTGCCACTTGTCCGCATCCTTCACCACATGCTATATGGTCACCATCAGAAAATACCACGCTGGGACGACTGTGAAATGTCGCAAGGATCTCCACAGTACCGTTCTCCATATCAGCCAGAAGAAGCTCATTTGAATATGCAATAGAATAGAGAAGGTAATGTCTTCCAAGTGCAGCGTAGAAAGCTGGCACAAGGGAGAAACACCTCAAAAGGGCATCCAGAGGAGTACTTCCAAGATGAGTAAGAAACACACGAAATGCACCTGTTTTGATGTTGATAAGCTCTACAAAACCTCCTTTCGTCATTACTGCAATGCAGTCGTGTAAAATAGCGCAAGAAGAAACTCGAATAACATCATGCCGGCACTTCTCAAAACGTTCTAGTAGCGCTTGGTCCCCCTTCTCATCAACGTCCAGTTCACGGAGTGTCAACAGGGATGGCATCTCTGTCTTTCCTTATCTATGCTTTCTTCTATTCTTTATTTTTCTGTGCTCTCGATACTTCTGTTAGCGTAAGCTGGTTAAAGAAAATAAGAAGAAAAAGAAAAGGAAAAAAAGGCAGACCTCAAAGAAAAAAAAGGGGAAGCGAAACAAAGACATATTTATATAAATATAAGGATGCATAGGCATATAGATAAATAAATAAATAAATAAATAAATAAATAAATATAAATCTGAAAATAAACAAATGCGCTCCACAACAAAAAAAAAGAACACAAAGTCCTCTCCTCCTTGTTTTCTTTCTGCGCTCTGTTATTTTCCGTTTATTACCCTCCTTACTTGGGTATTTGATCACTCATCAAACTCAATTAAATATAATCATCATCATCATCACCATCACGATCATCATCATCATCATCATCATCATCATCATCATCATCAGGATCATCAGCAATAGCAGTAGTGACATAGAAAAACGATTAGTATCACTGTCACAACTACATTTACTCTCTCATTACCGTAGAGGTTTCCTTTGCCTTTTTGTTTGCTTTTTTTTTCATCTCTCATCACCGTCCCACTCATTCATTCAGATTTACACGCCGTGGGTGTGGTAGCTGCTGTCTTTCTCATGACTGGTAGTGATACATCGAAAAGCGGGCTGATGCTTTCGTCGCGTGTGTGCTTGTCCACTACAGTGGCGAGAAGTGGGGCAATTGTGAGCACCTTCAGTTTGGGAACAAGCCGCTCGTGCTCCTCCTGCGGGATAGAGTCTGATACGACAAGCTCACTTAGCGCATCGCATGCGTTGATTCGGTCTGAGCACGGTGGTGTTAAAATACCATGTGTACAGCAGGCAGTAATTTTTGTTGCGCCTAGTAATTTAAGTAACTCACATGCCTTTACGAGTATCTCACCCGTGTCACATATACTGTCAACAATAACACAAATATGTCCCGTTACCTCACCCACAGTTTGCAATGTCTCCACTCCTGCTGTACTACGTCGCTTCACAATAGTTACGATGCGTCCTATGTGCAGTGTGTCAGCCAACTTGCGGGCGCGATCCACGTTGCCGGCGCCAACAGAAACGATTACCATATTATCAGGATCGAACCACGGGCGGTCGACCAGGTACTGTGCGAACTCCTGAGACATCTGCAGATTGTCGAGTGGTGTGTTTCCAAAAAACCCTTGAATCTGTCCAGAGTGTAGATCAAGCGTAGTGACACGATCGACACCCACTTGTGTTAGCATTTCTGCAACAGCAGAGGCAGATATGGTGCTACGTGCACTCGATTTGCAATCTTTACGCGAGTAAGCAAAGGATGGAATTACTGCTGTAATTCGTCTGGCATTACTCAAGCGCATCTTTCGAATTAGTAGAAGAAGTTCCATAAGAGAAGTATTAACATCAATCAATTCATTTCCTGTTGTACTTTGAATAATATAAACATCAGCACCAAGAACACTCTCACAAATACGCACATTCACTTCACCACTTGCACGTTGTGTTACGAAAGTCTGATGTGTAGGAATTCCTAGCAATAAGGCCACTGCCTCCGCGAGAGGACGATTTCCGTTACCGGAAACAATACACACTGGCTGCATGTTATTAGCAGGTCGCGGTGAAACAGTACCCTTTACTGCATGCACCTGTGCCATACCATCACCAGGGGTGTAGTAGTATGCGCTCTCGATACGCATGAGGTGCTCATGCACTGCAGTGAGTGCTTCAGGAGTGGAGTTCTTGAAGGCCATTATTTTCTCGTTTATGGGACTTTTTTTATTTTATTTTGCTTCACTGTTTTTAATTCCTTACTCTTTTTATTTTATTTTCTCTGGAATAGTCACACTGGAAACGTGTGACTCCGGTTACTTCGTGTTGCTTATTTTTTTTTTTTTTTTTGGTTTTCCTCTTTTGTTCTTCCTTTATCTTCCAGGGTATGTATATTTGTATATGTAACAGTTAACCTTTGTATTTGTGTTTTTTTTTTTTTTTTATTCTTGCTTGTGTACGCGAAGAACGACAGTATTTAGAAGAAGAATAAAAAAAAAAAAAAAAATAAGAGCAAAGAAAAAAATAAAACATATCACATCACATCATGAACACGTTACAAGAACAAATCATATATACTTAACTATGAACAAAGCATAGAAATAAAAAGAGGAACTAGAAGACATATCCATTGCAGAATTCCATTTTTAACGTTCTTCTTGTACATCATAATGTGGTGTAGTTCTACATATAACACACCTCTCTTCATTTTCATATTTTCCTCGTTTCTTCTAATATATACACTATTCCTCATAATTTTCTTTTCTTTTTCTATTGCCGCCGCTCGGGTAGCATACGCAGCTCAATCATCTCATTGTACTTCTTCTGAAACGCCTTGAGATCAAGTGCATAGGATAGGTCGACATCCCGTATGGTGCGGTACTCCTCCTTTGGAAGTTCGGGAAAAAAGAACTCCAGTAGTACGTCCATCTCACGTGGTGCAGGATTGCCACCTAGTACTTCCTCAATACAGCGACGTAGCTGAACAGGCGTTACAAAGGCATCTCGATGTGGATTTGAGAGAGAATGAATATCCGTCCGTCCCTGTGTGTAAGCACGTGGCATTGTTGAGGCGAGACGGAACATTTGTACACTGTTTAGACATCGCGCTTCGAGTCGTTCACATAGCTGACCCAATGCTTTCCTGAACACTGCCCGTTCTTCAACGTCAATACATTCACGTTCTTGCTTATTTTTCTTATCCGTCATGTGTGACATCCACTTCACAAGATCGTCCATTGTCAAGTAACCTGTCTCTGGGCACGACGCTATATCGTCAAACAGTGCCTGTCCATCCACTCTTCTCTCTGTAATCTGTAACTCCTGAAGGTAATCAATGAACTCAGTAACGCTTATAACACCATCTTTATCTCTATCAAAGCCAAGGAAAGCATCTTTGAACGAGTGAAAACGTGTACCCAGAAAGAGGTGGAATGCCGCAATTAATAACTGGAGATTTTCCTTATTCATCACAGGTTCATTCTTTCCTGCCAGATAATTTGCCGTATGCTCATCCATGTTCACAATCTCAAACTTATGTCCGTTTACCACAATAAAACCACCAACTTCAATGTCAGCCAGGGTATAGTATACATCAGAGCCTCCTGAAGGCTTCGGTATGCGTTGTCGACGACAGAAACAGCCACCCAAATAACCAGAATTTCTGACAGGGGATTCGTACACCATGGCATCATCTGTATCAGTGTAGTACGTTAGGGTAAAGCGTCGCAAACGTTCAGCAATAGAAGAAGGTTTAGCCAAACGAAGGAGGAAACGAAGTACATCTTTTGTTTTTACTGTTGGTCGCTTATCTGAAGTGGAAACGCCATTATCAACAGTAGTAAGGGTAGAAGTTACAGTCGCAGTTTGTCCCACTGTCTTTGCAGTAGTAGAGGCAGGTGTAGCACTGGCCCGAAATGCGATAACATGTGACTCTGGCTTGAGTCCGTATTCAGCAAGACATTCAACAGCGTCATTCAGTTTTATTCCAAGAGTCTCTGCGTAGTACGACCTTGTGTAGGGGTCACAATCGTACAAAAAAACCTGCCGACCATATATGTTGATAGTCACACCAACCCCAAGATCTCGTGCAGTATAGTGTCCATCAGGCCCAATGTATGGTTCTCGCATACCGTTCACACGATGTGCGAACGTTAGCTCATTGGCCTTTGAGCTGTCACCATCTTTAGGTAGCCACACCCGTGAGAGAAAGAGTGATGGAGTAGATTCATTAGATGTGGGACGCTCTACCACCGCGATGGAGTCATCCTCCACAAAGTAGAGTACTTCTAGTTTTCGCACAATGCCTCCCACCACCTTATCTCGTTCATCAAGAAGGGCATAAAAACGAAGAACCTTTCCACTGTCTTGCACAAAACGTGCCGCACGAACTGCTTCGTCACCATGATAATCTTGTGAAAGAATACCATATTTTCCAGAAACCATCCGCTCTTGCAACTTCTGCCATTCAGAGATAAATGAAGAATCTGGACACGGCACAGGATCACCAACATGCACACCAAGTGCAGTGAGAAACTCCCGTGTAAATAGGTCACAGTCGTAAAGAAAAAATTCAACAGCATTAATCCGCACAGATTGTCCTACGTTGAAGTGATTGATGGAAAGAAACTCCTCATTAGGAAATAGTTCACGCTGTCGCGCATCAGTACGTACCAGCTGCCGCTTAAGGTACGTTCCTCCGCGGAGTCCACTGTTTGGAATACATGGCTCTTGTATTAGCACAGTATCATCCTCTGGGAAAAAGAAGATAATGACTTGGCGGTGCCAATATTCCTCACGACAGCCCTCTGGTGCTTTCTCTGTAAAGAAAGCATAAAAGCGAAGTACCTTGTCAGAAAGTGTTGTGTAGTTTGCACGCTGGTCTTCTTTAGTGTCTGCCCTTCTTGTTGATAAGGCGTGCAAAAGCTGATGTGCCGTCTTACCAAGGCCTTCTGGTGGTGTATGGTCGTATACTCCTTTGGACGTAAACGCCCGCTTCCCTCGGAATTCCGCCTCCAGCTGCTGTGGTTTATCCTGCACCTTGCGGAAAGCTGGATCAAACCAATTATGTCCCACACGTGGAGGTAACAGTTTCGCGTCAAGCGTGCGAATATACTCTATCGGGACATCGTGTCCACCAGTCTGTCGCTTCGGAGACGTCATATCTGTTTAACTTCCTCCAACGTTTAGAGAAGCATCACACACAGTAATGAAAAGAGAAAGAAAGAGAAACAAAAAGAATGGAAATAAGGGAAATAAACAGAAAGACCACAGAGGCACACAGTAATCAGGTGCCCTCATTTTAAACATTAATTACTCTTGCTCCTTCTGCAAAAGATTCACCGCCTTACATTTAATGACGGAGGAACAGAGAAAACTTACCACGTTCTTCAAAATAACCTACTCTTTTCTTTTTCACTGTCTCCAAAACGGTGATAGGCATAGGAATAGGAAGAAAATAATAATAACAATAATAATAATAATAATAATAATAATAATAATAATAATAATAATAATAATAATAATAATAAATGGTGACCACTCCCACTCTCCCCCTCACCGACTCTCTGATAAGCCACAAAGAATGCGGTGTACGGCGACAGTCAGAAGTGATAACACCTTGTTTTTTTTTTTTTTTGCCCTTTAATGGTCGTACTTAGTCCCTTAACACTTATTTTCCAAAACGGATAATACCGGCCGAAACGAGTGTGTTGATCTTTGCAGCAAGCGTCGGGTCCCGCATGTACTCCTGAATTCGAGAGGGATCCCTCTGCATCTCACCCAGAACCAGCTGCATGTAACTGTCCTGCATAATAGCAGCAACCTCCGGGTCTGCCATGGCACGCCTTGCAACTTCATCACCATCTTCTGCCTGTCCAGTGGCCATCTCTTGAATCTTCATCATGGTGCGCATGCGCCCTTCCTTGCACTCCGCATTGTCCTTGTCATATTTCAGACCCCCGTCATATGCCTGCAGGGCCTTGTTGTACTGTTTCGTCCAAAAGAGAGCGTGACCCTTTCTGGCGTATGCCTTGACAAAGTCCGGTTTCAGAGAAATACATTTCTCGGCGTCCGCAAGAGCCTCATTGTACGCCCCAAGCTTAAGGTACGCAGCAGCACGGTTGCTGTATGCTGTGTGCTCGGACGGATTGCGTTTGATAGCCTCGGTATACGCAGCCACTGCTTCAGGGAACTTGTCTTCCTTGAATAAAGCATTACCCTCATCCTTCTTCTGCTGTGCAATCTCAGGGTTGATATACGCCTCGATCTCAAACTTCTCCTTCTCCTTCTCACAGGCGTTAAGCTTGGCAAGAGTATCAGGGTTACGGTGTTCCACCAATGCCTTCTTAAACAACGCAATGGCTTCCTCATAGCGCTTCAATCGTTGCAAGCATAACGCCTCACGTGTCATGAGCTTTGCAAGCACGGTGTAGTCACATCGGTTCTCACGACCGTGTTCCAGTGCCTTTTCGCACTCCTGTATGCAGGCATCATATTCACCCTTCTCAAAAAACACAGCAGTGATGTTAAGGAGGTAAACAGTGTTTGTGCCGTCCTTTGCAAACGCCTCATGGTACTTCGCCAAAGCATCATCGAATTTTCTCTGCTTGTAGAGGGCATTCCCCTCTTCTTTAAGCTGCTGCGCCTCCCGTGCCTCCGGGGTTAGTTCTGGTGCCTCTGGCTTCTTTTTCTCTTCCTCTTTCGGCTTCTGTGTCTCTGGCTTTGGCCGCTCTTCCTCCTCGTCGTCACCAGGAAGGTTTATGCCACTGAGTATCATGAAAGTGGTCATTATTCGCTGATCATTGATATATCTCGTAACTGAAGAGGGGTCTTTTATAATTTCATCAAGCATGCGAACATAATCTGGCTGCAGCAAGAGGAGTGAAAGTTTGGGGTGAGCCTGTATTTTTGCAAAACAATCCGGACCAAACACCTTTGCAAAGGGATTCGACATTTCTGCGGCAGCTTTATCCTTCTTCACTGAAGTAATGCCCTCGGCGCACGCAGTGTTCGATGGATCAACAGAGAGACCCTTGTTGTAGGCCTCTATGGCCTCATCATACCGATGAAGTCCGTGGAAAGCTGCTCCACGTCGCACGTATCCCTTGACCCAGTCGGGCTTTAGTGATATACATTTCTCGGCATCTGTCAAGGCACTTTCGTACTCGTGGAGGGCTGCATAACATGCAGATCGGTTACTGAATAGAACATGGTTGGACGGATCCAATTCAATGGCTTTGCCGAAGAATCCAGCAGCTTCAGTGTAGCGGCCCGAAGAAAATTCTTGGTTGCCCTTGTTCTTAAGTTATGTTGCGTCCACGAAGATCAAAGTGCTCTAGGTGTACGAAACACCGAAAGCAGAAATATAAAAAAAAGGAAAAAAAAAATATTTAAGCTCAGTAAAGTTTACCAATTAGGATAATATTATTTGGTATGGCCCAAATAAGGGTACCAAATATATATATATATATATATATATATACAGTGACAAAAAGTTTATCGATACGTCACGTCTACGGACACTGTCGCACAACCAACAATTTAAACGTCTGAAAAGAATAAATCAATCTTTCTGTATAAGCCATATGAGGAAACCACCTGAAAGGACCTATTACTTTTAATTGTGTGCTCCAGATATTGGGAGACAACTTCCCACAGAAGACATTAGATCGTTCGATTAGACGACCAACAAAAAAATCTTACAATCTCCCTTAGCTTTCCCTCAGAAACTCTCATCTCAAGCACCACACAAATATCAAGTTATATAGAAAACGCCATAAAATTCAAGAATCACTACATTACCCAGACTCTATTCAGGTTCATATATCTTTCAGACCATCCTAAAAATGATTCCATACAATTAGGTTTGAAAAATAAAAATAAAAATAAACATATTCATATTCATATGTACTTTCTTATTCTCAATTCCCTACTCTTTCCTTCCTAACAAGTTGCGATGTACGTGATCCC